TCAACAAAAAACTGTGGATTACTCCTTTCACCACGTCGCCTTCTAACCCTGGCACGTGCATGCCTAAACAAAATCGAGACTCGTCACTAAAGACAGTACTGTTCCATTCCTGATCCCAGAGTGACCGTTGTCTGCACCACTCAAGGCGATTACGTCGGTGTTCTCGAGTTAAAGGGAGGACCCAGTGTGGCCGGTATGAAAACAAGCCAAAACTTCTCATTCGTCGGTAAACACTTCGCATGCCAATAGGTCTTCCGTGTTCTGCAAACCATTCATTTGCAATGGACCTGGTAGTGGAGAAACGGTCCCTTAAGGCCAATAATCTTAGGCGGTCTGTTGTTCTACGGCGGCGTCCAGTGCCCCTTGCTCTTTGCGTACGGCCTTCTCGAAGCCATGCCTGACAACAACTAACCACAGTGTCTACACTTCTTTGCACTCTAACTGCAATTGCCCGAAAAGAAAGTCCAGCTTCCCGAAGTCCCACTATACGGCCCCTATCAAACTCACAAGTTGACGAAATCGTACAGGTCTCCGTACTCTAGGCATCGTAACCGATCGTAAAGGATGTCAAGAACCAAAATCCGCCAACGTTGATTCTTTACTGCGGCTGAAATATTCATTTTTAGAGCGTTATTGAATTAAAAAAAAGCAGTGTAAAAACCGGAATGTCCAACTGATAAGGCTGAAAATTTTTTCACTTGTTATTTACAGTAAGATAAATACATTCACCAACTTTTATTAAAATAAAACCATTCAAACTGGGTGTTCGGATTTATATGTCACTTAGTATATAATGGAAATAACAGGGGTCCTAAAACTGATCCCTGTGGTAGCCCAGAACAAATTTTTTGTGCGGTAGAGTACTGTTGATTTAGACTTGAGCTTGACTTGATTTCAAGTGAAGTCAAGTACTAGACTTGTTGACTTGAAACCCATCTTTGGTCAGGTAAGCCTTGGAAAGAATTCTAATCACTTAACTGACGTTTTGCAATGTTAGTCGCGTTTGGAAACGTCACACTGATCAGTTCCTGTCATTTGTATTTGACTGCAATTTTAAGTATAGTGACCTAAAAATGTGTACTGCAACCACTGCAAATTCATACGCCAAACTGTGTCGAAAATTTGAGAGTGGAAGAGAGGAGACGAATGATAAGCAGCGACCACGTGCATTGAATGCTGCATCAACAGACAGGAATGTGACTTAGGAAAAATCGTCGAATTTCAATCAAATCAATGTCAGAAAATGTTTGTGTGAGTGTAGGATCTGTCCATAGTATCGTACACAAATTGGGTTGCAGCAAAGCTTGTGCGCAATGAGTTCCTCGCCTTTTGTTAGAGGACCAAAAAAGCTTGCGAATGAGCTTGTCTTTGCAACATCTCACGGAATACAAGCAAAACGTTAATGACCTTCTTGCTTCAACAATTGTTAGCGACGAAGTCATTGACAAATTGGTTAAGGCTTTCGCGGCCAGTTGATAAACTGCTGTCTTGATTCGAGTCTAAAGACCATCGTCGGTTGGATTTCTTCCTAACATTTCGCTAGCACGAGTGGCAAGCTTCTTCAGAGGTCCTTCCATTTCCGATGACGACCGCCTTTAGACCCGAATCAAGACAGCAGTTTGGAGTCATTATTTTGAACCGTCCAGTAAGCTGTCATCGATGCATGGAAACGCGCAAAGGACCCGCCAACAAAGATGTCCAAAGTTCAACCTTCTGCAGGCCATGTCATGTGAACTTTTTTTTCGACCATGATGGACCCTTGCTCATAGAACCTACAGTTCATATCAACGCAAACCTTTATAATGAAACGTTGAACAATCTCCATGAAGCAATAAGACGAAAACGTCCAGGAAGCTCTTCTTCTGCACGACAATGGTTGACTTCATGTTGCCAGTGTAGTGAAAGAAAATATACAACGGAAGAAATTAAGGATATTAGAGCATCCATCCTTTAGTCACAATTTATCGCCGTGGGATTTTCGCATCTTTGGGCCACTGAAAAAGGCGTTAAAAGGTAAGCATTTCCAGTCGGACGAAGAAGTAGAAAATGTTGTAAAAGAATTCTTCAAGCAGCAGCCTCAAGAATTCTTTGAGCAGGGTATATATCGATTGGGATATGTGCCTTACTTGTAGTGGTATTTATTTGTAGATATATTCGCCAATACATTTTTTCTGGACCAAAGATGGGTTTCAATTAACCATAACAAAATTGAGGTATCTGCAATTTATCGTCCGCCATGTTCAGAACCCCACGAGTTTTTAAAGAATTTCGAATTTTTTTTTCAAAATCAAAATAAAGCTCATTTAAAGCAACATATTTTCTTGGGAGATGTCAATATAAATATTTTGGACGATGATCCCATCACAAATGAATACTTGAATATCCTATCAAGTAACGGATTTCTGTCCTATATAAACCTACCTACAAGGTCCATCAGTGGCACATGTATAGATCACTGCTTTGTGAAAGACCTATCCAACAAAATTACTTGTAAACCAATAATCCTAGAAAGCGATATTACTGACCACTTCTAACACTTCTAACATTCTAACATCCCTACCGTTAATAACAACCAGGAAAATTACAAATTTTTTGTCGACGATTCAAAACTAATATCAAATGTCAAACAAGAATCCTGGGAACAATTATACTCTATAAATAATATAGACAAAGCAACGGGACTGTTCATAGAGAAAATAAAAAAACTAATAGATATTAGTACCAATAAAGTAATAATTAGTCACAAAGAGAAAAGCACAAATTCCTGGATTACCAAAGGATTAATAACATCGGCAATAAAAAAAGAAAGACTATATAATGTAATGAAACTAACGCCAACTACAGGGAATACCGACTGCTACAACCAATATAAAAATAAATTTATTGAGCTTGTAAGGCAAACCAAACGAAAACATTACCTAAATAAATTGAATAATAACTTAAATGATCCTAAGCGGCTTTGGACAACTATTGATGAGATTACTGGGAAAACTAAATTTAAAGAGTGTGTCACTGAGTTAAATACAACATCGGGAACAGTATTAAAAAATACTCAACAGATATGCGATGAATTTGTACAATTCTTTACTGACATAGGCGAAAATTTAGCAAGTAATATACAAGCAAATGTACAAGATACTCAGCCTCCAAAAAGAACTTTGAACTCATTTATTTTGGATAAAGTCGAGCAATGTGAAGTATACACCACTGTTATGTCCTTAAAAAATCGGAAAAGTCCTGGGTTCGATGGTATTAAAAGCGAGCATTTGAAAATTATAGCCGAGGATGTAACAGAACCACTCACTTACCTAATCAACAAATGCTTTGAATCTGGCATATATCCCTCAATTTTAAAAAAAGGTAATATAATACCGATACATAAATCAGGAACAAAAACAGATGTTAACAACTATAGACCAATATCAATAATATCCAGTAGCAAAGGTTTTTGAAAAAGTTTTATCTACTAGAATGATTCGATACCTCACAAAATTCCAAATTTTAAGTGAAAATCAATATGGATTTACAGAAGGGAAGGCTACATCGGACGCAATAACTAAAATTGTAAATCAAATACATCAAAATATTGATAACAGAATCCCTTCAATCTGCATTTTTGTTGATTTAAAAAAAGCTTTCGACACAGTTAATCACAAATTATTATTAGAAGCATTGGAGAGAATTGGTTTTAGAGGAAACGCGTACTCACTGATCGAAAGTTATTTGTCAAATCGCCCACAATCTGTGCAGATATCAGGATCATTTAGTAAAGAAATGTATATTAAGTGTGGTGTCCCACAAGGAACTGTCTTAGGTCCGCTGTTATTCAATATATATTTAAATGATATTTTCCAAATTAATTGTGTTGGCAAAATAACTAGTTTTGCAGATGATACTGCAATATTATATGAAGGCACAGACTGGTCTGATCTGAAAAATGTAATTGAAAATGATTTTATCAAAATTATTCGGTGGTTTAACAGTAGAAAATTAAGCATTAACTACTCTAAAACACATTTTTTACCACTTGGATCTTATGCTAGACATCTGCCAAATTACACAAATTTCTCCTTCAATATTAATGATCAAAAAATGCAAATTAATAGAGTGCCCAACATAAAATACCTTGGAGTGGCCTTGGATCCTCACTTACGATGGGACATCCATGTCAATTATATTTTAAAGAAAGTTAGATTTGTAGCCTACAAAATTAAATACCTTGGGAATATATTGACAGAAAAATATCTTCGAACATTATACCATGCACTGATTGAGCCTCATCTCACATATGGTATATTAGCATGGGGAGCTGCATGTTCCTCACATATCTATAATTTAGATGTTTTTCAAAAAAGTATTCTAAAAATGATATTTAAAAAACCGAAACTTTATCCCACTGAAAAATTATACGCAGATGTTCGAATGTATGATATAAGACAGCTTTATTTCTTACACAGTATCACTCACTACCATAAATTTGTAAACACCGACCAAAAAATTAAACATAATCATTATACCAGGTACAAAATTCGTGGCACAGCAGTTCCTCAACCGCATAAATCTATAATGCAGCGATCATATCTCTATTTAGCGCCTAAATTTTATGAAATTATACCTAAAGACTTAAAAGATTTACGTTTCGGAAATTGTTTCAAAAGAAATTTAAAAAAGCGGCTACATTCTATATCTAGGACTGAAATTCATAAACTCATAAATACGAACATCAACTAAATACATAATCTACTGTAGCTAATTTTTGTCCTTTTTTGTCATTTGCATTCTACAGTTTCAACTTAAATTATTGGTCCATGTACAGGCGATGCCTTCTATTGGGCCTGTTTTGATTTTATATTTATTTACTCATATTGTTTGTTATCTTTGTACATTGAGTGAATAAATATTATTATTATTATTAAAATTGAACAGCTTGTAAATGAGGTCAAATAGCGAGTCCCTGTTGCCGAGTTTTTGCGGTTTCGGAATATTTAATAGAGCTGTGGTAGCGCGCGATGCATTTCGTCGCAGTGGACCCGAACCCTTAGCCGGTATCAACCCGCGACGCCGAATTATTCGACGCATATAAACGAAAGTGAAACCGAAAAATATTCCACTATCTGCGCGATCTGAGTCGAAGGCGTACCATGATATAACCATACAGAAGTGAACTTTCAACAACCATTCCAATCCAGTTCGGCGGACCAGCTTGAAGACGCTGAAATTGAAAGCACACACGCAGCGACGGATCTCACGTGAGATACTTTGTGCGCGTGGCCGTGACGACATAGTCGTATCGAAGTGCGATTAGTGATCAACTTGAAAAGGTAAGTACGTAATCTGTTTGACGTAGAGATTAAGCTTGCGGTTGTTTTGTTTATCGTCGAGTTTATGGTTAGGAATTCAGTTGATGCACACCATTTTTAAAAAATGGCTCAAGCACATCGACTCTATGCTTCTGATTCCTTCGTTGTAGGTTTAAATGCAGCTATTTAACATCTGCTAATATTCACAATTTGTGATCTACTAAAAAAAGTGTTAACTAGGCTATTCTCGCAAATGTAACCAGAGACTTAGATGATCGATGAGAACAGTAACCTTTAGAAAATGTGTATGTGCTTCCAATATCGCTTAATTAACTTTATTCACAGTCCATATTGCCACAGAATGACAATTTCAATCTCATTGTATACTTGAGCGCTATAAAATTTGTAATGTCCATAATAAAAGCTGGAAAAAATGCGCGGTAAATTTAAGTAGTCGATGATTGTAATGTGTGTTGCGGTATTATACACTAACAAACAAACAAAATTTTGTTGAAATTTAATTTTTTATTATCTTTTTAACCTTTGCATCGATTTCGTTAATTTTTTCGTCACGTTGCAGGTAATTTCATTTTCATGATTATCGACTGTGGATCTTGCAAAAAGATGTTCGCATGATTTTCTTTAAAACAGCATATATTCTTCAATAATTGAGATATTGACATGAATCAGGAAAAGAACTGTTGAGAAAAGTTGAGGCTTAAAATTCGCATACGAAGACATATTATTCAGTAATCCAATGTTTCCACAGGGTGTTCAGAAGTTTAGGGCAAAATGCACCTTTTAGTTACACCCTGTATAACAAAATATTGGACAGACGCCAACTTGGGAAGTATCACTAGGATTTGGATCAAATTTTCACAGCGGAAGAAAAAGCTTTTTAGTTTTTGAAAAACAAAGCATGAAAAAACGTTCCAGAAGCTCCTGGACATTTTTATAATCTTCTGGGGCTGGCGGTTGTCAAGGGTGGGGTTGAGCTTATGCAAATTTTTTGAGGTACCTAGTATATTTATACGCTCTCAACCTCGGTAATTCTATGCCATATTTCCCTGGTACTCCTGCTATCTAAGCTCACCGCCCGGCGTATCTGTCCGGCTGACTAATCTATCCGTACTGCAGCGCACAAACCATACCGGGTGATTTTCCAAGGTGACTAACTCCTATAACTTTTTTATTGTTGAAGTTAGAAAAACGATTTTTTGTTGTTTGCATATTATAGATGTATACTAAGTGACATATAAATCCGAAAAAATTTTCAGCCTTATCAGTTGGACATTCCGGTTTTTATACTGCTTTTTTTAATTCACTAGCGCTCTAAAAATGAATATTTCAGCCGCAGTAAAGAATCAACGTTGGCGGATTTTGGTTCTTGACATCCTTTACGATCGGTTACGATGCCTAGAGTACGGAGACCTGTACGATTTCGTCAACTTGTGAGTTTGATAGGAGCCGTATAGTGGGACTTCGGGAAGCTGGACTTTGTTTTCGGGCAATTGCAGTTAGAGTGCAAAGAAGTGTAGACACTGTGATTAGGTGTTGTCAGGCATGGCTTCGAGAAGGCCGTACGCAAAGAGCAAGGGGCACTGGACGCCGCTGTAGAACAACAGACCGTGAAGATCGCTGCCTAAGATTATTGGCCTTAAGGGACCGTTTCTCCACTACCAGGTCCATTGCAAATGAATGGTTTGCAGAACACGGAAGACCTATTGGCATGCGAAGTGTTTACCGACGAATGAGAAGTTTTGGCTTGTTTTCATACCGGCCACACTGGGCCCTCTCTTTAACTCGAGAACACCGACGTAATCGCCTTGAGTGGTGCAGACAACGGTCACTCGGGGATCAGGAATGGAACAGTATTGTCTTTAGTGACGAGTCTCGATTTTGTTTAGGCATGCACGATGGTCGTGCCAGGGTTAGAAGGCGACGTGGTGAAAGGAGGAATCCACAGTTTTTTGTTGAAAGACATGTTCATCACACTGTTGGAGTTATGGTTTGGGGTGCTATAGCTTATGGTTCCAGGTCACCTTTAATCTTCATCAGAGGTAACATGAACGCGCAGCGTTATATCCACGAAGTTCTAGAACCCCATCTTTTACCCTATCTTGACACCCTGGCAGATCCAACTTTCCAACAAGATAATGCCCGACCACATGTTGCAACAGTCACAATAGACTTCTTTCAACATAATGATGTCACATTGTTACCATGGCCACCAAGATCTCCCGACTTATCCCCAATTGAGCACGTGTGGGATATGATGGGTAGGAGATTGCTCAATTTGCAACGTCCTCCTCAGACTCTAGAAGCACTTCGAGAGGAGTTGGTGGTTGCCTGGAATGAGATACCACAGGAGGACATTGACCACCTGATCAGAAGCATGCCTAGGCGCGTTGGAGAATGCGTAGCACATCAGGGTGCATCCACACATTATTAAAGGTCAAAGGGCTTTAAAGCAGTGAAATCATTTTGAAATTTTTATCATTTACTTATTATGCTTCATTAAGTACTTATACAAAATTTTATTAAAATAAAACCATTTAAACTGGGTGTTTGGATTTATATGTCACTTAGTATATTTACATTTTTTGAACTATTCGCTAACTTTCGATTTTTAATTGTGACACCATATATATGTTTACTTATTTCGATATTTGACAAGTACAGTCATTTTAATTTCAATTTCTATTTTTGATTAAGTAACACGGGAGAAACATGATTCTTAAGCGAACGACCTTACGGTCGTTTTAAAGATTTTATAAAAGTTAGGAGCACTAATTTTTTCAGTTTACTTGATTTTTCAAATAGAATGGGGATGGTTCGTCGACTTTTTCTAAGAGTCCATTTTCTTACGAATAATTTGACACTACACACTCTTATTTTATTTTCACTATTTTTCTGAATAATTGTAGGAAACTCCCCAAAACTATTTTAAACGAATTCTGACAGCTGTGATTAATAAAAACAATTGTCATGGCTTTTATTTTTCATAGCCACCTATGCGTTATAGACTTATTTTGCAATGACATGAAAATAGGTTGATATACTGTAATTGCAACATGTGTTATGTTTTATGTTGCAAATTTGATTAGGTAGTGATAAAGTTGGTGTTTTCTACTATATATTATCAAAATATTCATTGTTAATATTTTAAGCCTATAACACCCTGCTACATTTTTATTATTTGTGTTTGATAAGAAAAAAACTAAGATTTCAATAGTTGGGCCAACTGAAGTGGGAAGGGGCTCGTATTGTGAATTTTCATTTGCTACATGCAGCATTCATCTATCTGTAATAATAAGAAAGTTACGGCTTTTTAATTCATATCAAGTCGTATCCAATACTATGCAAGAAAAATATTTCAAATACAATTATCTCAAAACTACTTATTTGGACTTAAGATATGTACTTGTAAATCCGATTTACCCGCAACATTTGTATTTTTGGTGCTAGGCACTAATAAATCTTCGTGTATTTGTAATCTTTCCGAAAGGTTTCTTAATGAATTCCTATTTCTCTTCAATTATTTTCAATATTTAGAAGATGGTTATTTTCTGAAACGTACAATGCATTTTCGCTATTTTAATGGAAGAAAACGATAAAGACAGCCCATCAAAACGTTGTTAGGCGACTATGAGGATATAATAGCCAGTGTCATAAAAATTAATTTTAATGGAACTTGGACATTAGGCATATAATGGCAAAATGACCAGTGGTGTAATAATTGTAGCCGCATCAAGTTAATGAGTGAAAAAAACTTGTTAACACTCTGACATTAAATAGACAGACTCTTCGTATACACAAACACCTTCAGATCTTTTAATATATGGATTTAAGCACGAAGATTGATCCCTGCGTTTTGGGCTTAACCTATTTACAATAAAGCTGCACTTATATTTTTGTATTTTTCGTTACAGTAGTTGACATAGAAGTAACACGTTCTTTAGGCGATTGGACATGATTTATCTCTGTGCAAAAGTGCGTCGTTTGTCCGTTAGAGGGCGTAAATTTTCTTTTTAAAACACATTTTCCCAGATATTTTTAGTATGAATAGTCGGATTTGAATGAAACTTGGAACACATGTCTTTTGCTAGACGGACTAATGTTTGGCGTTAACAAAAAGCTGAAATGGTTCAAAAAGGGTGAAAACTACACTCACCCTTACAGAAATTATAGCAGAATTTTTTCGTAACTCTGAATATTTTTTATTTAAAGAATCCTTTTGTTCACTTCATCTTTTGTCTCCTATAAAAACAGGCCAAATCGCATAGATTTCGAGAAACGAAAAATGTTTCTAAAAAATGTCCTGATTACATGAAGTGTTAAAATCAAGTGAACATCTAGTTGGCGGAATGTGGGATGTTATGTCAGTGCGGTGTTGCCAGGTCAAAAAAAGAAAATTCACAAGAAATTGAAATGAAAAGTCACCAGTTTAAAAAAAATACCAGGGTTTTAAAAGCTTATTGTTTAAGTTGTATTAACGTATGTTTTGGCATAAAATATTTATCGTATTTTTTTTTTAATGATGGTATGATTTGTGTTATATCTTTCTTTCTTACCGACTCAGTACTGTGTTAGAATCTTTTGGGCACTAAAGTTATAATATTTTATTAATGACTATCTCAGAAATTTGCTCATAAAATATCATTGGTCCCTTGTATAGTTGGTTTTCGAGGGTCCGCGCATTGGCAACCAGCGCCCTCTTTTGACATAGATTGACAGTCAACTGACTGTCACTCATTTTCCTGTTGAGGTTATGGTGTATCGGTCCTCTGATTTCCAGATTTTGGGACATTGGGGGCCCCATTTAGCGGTTTATGAAATAACTTCTTGTTTTGTATCTACCTTACGTTTAATTGTTTGTCTTGGTTTGGGTGCTACTGAGTGGCGGCTCGTGACAAAATAAAAAAGGTGTTCTGCAAATCCGAACTTACCTATTTTTTATATGTCAGTTCGATCCTGCGCTCCTTCTTGGCAGCAAATCTGTCGATCACCTTCCCGTTGAA